ATGGAAAAAGATACTTTAATTATTTTAAAACTTACTTTGTAACCAATTATTAAGTATATAGTAAAATACTAAATAAAATATTTAAAAATAAAATATAGCCATTGTGTTAATAAAATTACATATAAACAAATTTCATGTAAGTGAAATTACATGACTACTCTCAGAGAAGGCAGGATTTAAGGAGATTTGAGAAGAAATAAATCTATGACGTTTTTATTATACTTTCCATAAAGGCTGTTTAGAGATTTTTTTTCTCTGCAATTTATTTCATGATTGAATTACCCATGGCTTTAAAGCAATATTCACCCAGTACCTGTGTTTTTTAAGATAATTTAAGATTCCTTTGCCAGGCCACTCTTTGTCAAGTACAGCTTCTTAAGAACATAACATATTATGCATCTAATATTTTTGCTACTGAGTAGATAAGAAGGGGTAGAGTTTATTTTCACTTAAACTTTTTTGTTCTAAATCAAAGTATAAAATGTCTTTTAAAATAATTAAAATGTCATCATAGATTGAAGATGGATTGACAGATGTGTTCTGAGATTTTTAATCAAGTAAGAAGTGACAGCAAAACAGGATAGTAAAAATTATAATGGGATAAAGTAAAACCAGTTTTAGGCCAAGATCTCACACTATGATGATGATGATCATGATGAAGGGTCAAAGAATTTAGTATGTATCATTCTCTGTGCTGCGCTTTCTCAGCATTACTTCATCTAATATTCACAACACTTCTCAATATAAATATTATCTCTTCTTTAGAGAGAAGATTGGATCTTAGACTATGTAATTTACTCAAGATCACAACAGCTATATAAATATCAGAGCACAAACTTAAAAGGTTTTTCTGATTCCAGTTCATGTTCTTTACCATTACGCATATTATTCTCTTTCAAACTCCCTGGACCTTGGTTTTCTCACCTATTATACATGAAAAATGTAGCACAGCCTAAACTGTTCTAAAGTTCATTCTCACCTTTTAAGATGTTCACATTCTAGTGAAGTCTGGGACTCCCTTCCCCCAAATAAAAGCACATTAAATCAACAGATCTAATCAATCTCCTTGCTGGAGCTTGTGCAGCCAATCCTTGTATATGTATGTAATACATCATTTTACAGGTCAAGATACCGAGGCATAAAGAGGCTGACTGAAGGTCACATACCTAGTGTACAATATTTGAACTCTATCTTGTTTTAAAACCTATGCTTTTCCTTTACACCCTGTTTCCCAATGGTTTAATTTTGGATCTTCATGTAGTAATACTCTTATTTCAATTTTAATATAAGAAAACTAAAGATACTAATTAATTTATCTCTTTCTGGGATATTTATGATTACTGGAAAACATCTGCTTAATATTCATTTGCTAAGTACAACTGGAAAATGTATTAAAATATGTAAAATACAAGAGCAAACATGTTATCAATAACATAGGAATAATAAAAATTAAGTATTAGCAAACTACTAGGAAGAGAGAATCACTTTCAATTAGGACAATTGGGGAAGGCCTCAGAGGGATGACTACATGTGGACAAGGCATTAGAAGAAATAAAAGCCTAAAAAGAAAAAAGAATATTCTAGAAAAAGGGAATGACATGAATGCAAGTATGGAGCCAAAATGTATAGTTGAGGTGGAGTATGTAGTCCACACTGGGTACAGTTTAGGATTCTTTCTCTTGAATGTAGGTATTTGGCAGGGAAACATGTGAGAGCTAAACTGATTAGGGATTTTTAATACTGAGTTAAATAATCTGTATTTGATCTTGTAGAAAATGAAAAGTCACTAAACATCTTCAAGGAGAAAAATTTTTAAATGTTCACCAGTTTTAATGCTTTAATAAGATTAAACTGAGGAGCGTATATAGACTTCAATGGAACTAATGTTGGCCAAGAAGAAGCAATAGCAGAAGATTTTGGCATTTCTATGGATTGTAACATGGCGGGGTGGGGGTATAAAAATTCTCTTGAGGTCTGAAAATTTCTGAGAAAAAAAATCAGATGTACATTATATAAAATATAAATACTACAACTTCCAGCACTGAAAACAATCTATAATATCCTCCTCTCTATCAACAACTTTCTACTCTTTTAGCTCTTACTTTATCATCTTATTTCATCAGCTTCTCTAGCTCTGATTAGTCCCTTAATCTTTCATTTTCTCTAAGTACTCACTTTACTCCAGCCCCATGGTCAACACTTGAACTGTTCTCTCAATAGCACTCTCAACTGAAGTCAGTGTGGAAATCTACCCTCTTTTTTTCACTCAGGAGGAAGGAGAAATCCTCATGACCCTGACATTATTACAAAGTAAGAGTTTCTATTTTCAGGCACGTAGGAACCTGTCAAATGAATACTTCTTAGTCTTTAACTTATTTAATATCTGATAATATTGAATAGCACATTTCTTTCTGAAATTCTTAAATTTAGAACAATTGCAATTAAATACTCTGTAAATATTACCCTAAAAATGGACTTTAAGAGTCAGCATTTTTAAACTAAAAAACAAAACATACACCTTATTCATCTAAAGCTAATTTTAAACTTCCTTGATTATAAAAGCACTAGATACTAAACACAATGCTGCTATGTAGATATATTAATATTTTGTTGTAAACTATCAGAGCAATAAGTACTAATTAAGAAAAAACAAACAAAGAGCTACAAATCAGAAATAGCTAAAATGCTCCCTTAGGAAAATGAACATGCCATAAACATCTATAGACTCGATGATGAAAAGCCTTTACCAATACAATAAATTTTCTCTTTGGCCTCTAAAAAATGTTAAACTTAACAATGAACAGGTTTTCTAAATACAAAAATTATATATACATATATATATATATGTATGTATATGTATATATATATATATATATACACACACATACATATATATATTACATTTTGTATAATTACTGCTTCTATACTTAGTAAACAACTAAAATAGGATTAAAGAAGCAGACTTATTGAGTAAATAATTTACTCAAAATGTATGTCTGTTATTTAAAACAAGAGGCCTGGTGCACAAAATTTGTGCACAGATAGGGTCCCTAGTTCCCTAGACCTGGCCTGCGATCAGGGCCAATTAGGTTCCCCGCCTCTCCGCCTCCCCCTGCAGGCTGGGGAGGGGAAGCTGTGGGAGGTTTCAATCCCCAGTTTGGAATATGCAAGAGGCAGCCAATCAAAGATTATCATCATTGATATTTCTATTTCTATTTCCCTCTCCAAAATCAATCAAATATATATTTTTTAAATGCAAGTTTTTTAGAAAAAGAAAGGTAGGGCAAGAGGTTTTGATTCCAGACAGGAGGAGAAACACGGAGATCAGCAGGCCTTTCTTAGCCTAGAAGGTGACGCGGGCAGCAGGACCAGGCTGCCCTGCTTCCCTACAAATGTTAATACTTAGTGTAACTGGACATGGACATCAGTCACACGGCCAAATCAATGCCCAGTCAGCCCTGGTGGCTGTGTCCTGCCACTCTCTGGCTGTGCTGCAGTGCTATTGGCCGGGGAGGCTGAAGCCACGTCCCAGAGTTCATGTAGTATACGAAGGGGTGGGCAAGAAGCCAGAAGCCAGAGCTGACACGGCGCGGCCCAGCAGTTGCATCCGCAATGGAGCGGGACAGGGAGCAGCTGTCGGCGTGACCGGCTTTGGAGTCAGAGGGTCTGTGCTTCCTGCACATCACCGGTGAGTCGCCCCAAGCCGAGCCATGGGACCAAAGGGCAGTGGGGTGGGAGGCGCCACCATGGTCGGTGCATAGTCCTTCGCAGCGTGCCAGCCGGGCGGTCAGGGCCTGGGGAGGCTTTTCCCTCCTGGAGCCGCTCTTCCCAGGGTGGCAGCCTCTGGCCACTTTTTTTTCAATTTTTTTTTTTTTTTATTGGAAAGTAAGCTCTGGGCTTGTGGTCCTGGGATTCCTGGGCCACTACATGCGCCTCCAGGCCTCGCTGTACCACCCTCCCCCTCCTCCTGCATTGAGCGTCAACCCAGCCTGTGCCCTCTCGCAATCCAGGACCCCTAGGGGGATGTAGCAGTGCGCCATGAGCCCAGCAGGTGGCCAGGGAGGAGCCCAAACTGGGGACAGGCGCCATGCTGCTCACACTCCTCCCAGCCCGCTCCGCCGGCTGCTGCACTCAGTATTGCTGCAGTAGTGGCAGAGAGGCTCCCAATGCCACCGCAGCTGTGCTCGCCCTCCATGAGCCCAGCTTCTGGCTGAGCAGCACTCCCCCTGTGGCTGCATTGAGCATCTGCCCCCGGTGGTCAGTGTGCATCATAGTGACCGGTCATTCCGGTTGTTCCGCCGTAAAGGTCGCTTAGGCTTTTATATAGATAGATAATTTTTCAAAAATGCATAAAATCTCATTACTGCAATTGAGAATTTACTAGATTGAATTTTATAATAAGGAGGATCAAGGCCTTAGATAAAGTTTTTCTTTAACACATTTCATTATACACAGTAGAAATTAACACTTTAAAATTAAAAAGAAAAAGTATCAGTTACTTAAGAGAACTATCCTTTTTCAACAACTCTCCATATTTGGAAGACTCTTTATAACTCATTTAAATATCAATAAAACTTAAGTAAGAATCCAAAAAATCCTTTCAAGGCTCTTTTCAGTCTTGCCTTAATAAGTGATTACAGCATCAAGTAACCTTATTTTTATAATTTTTTCCTAATGTGGAATCACCATAAATGTTTTGTCATTACTTAGGAAAAGCAAAAACTAAAATGATGATGTTCAGATTATGATTCAGACTAAAATATGTTAATATAATTTCACTTATAAATTAAAAGTAATTATCATTTTAGATGTTTTAAAATCATTTAAAGCGACATTTTAAAATTCTTTAATAACTAGAAGTATGAGTTGTGATTCATTGAAAATATAAACATTGAATTGGCTATTGAAAAAATAATACTTTAAAATTATAAATATGTGCTAACTCACTTCTCACTTTTAAAGAAAACAAAACATCCTTAAAAGCTTAATTTTGTTCTTACTGTGATCAATGTAGTCAATCTTGTGACATCACTGTTGAGAAATCTGCAATAGGAAAGCAGAAACAGAATTTAGCTGAATCATACTTAAGTAAGCAATTTCATAAACTAAAAAGCTTAGAATTTCTCTTTCTTTATGCCATAAGTCATATTTAAACTGATACACAGTTGTCAAGAAAAGTGCAATTAGCACAATATGAACAAACATAAAACACCTGAAGTTTATTTATAGGCCATTATTATAGTACTAGAGGCCCAGAGCACAGATTCATGCACATTGAAAGGAAATTAATTAGAAAGTGGCCAGTGGGGCAAGACTGGGCGAGAAGGGCCAGACATGCCCTGGAACCAACCTCCCGCAGTCCCTCCCCTGCCAGCCGCACTTGGGACAGAGCCGGGACTCGAAGGGTGTCTGCAGAGTGATGGGGTCCCTCCGGCAGGTGGGGTCCCTCGGCCTAACCTGTGGGGATCAGGCCGAAACCGGCAGTCCAACATCCCCTGAGCGGTCTCGGAGTGCAATAGGGCACTCTGCAAACTTGTTGTCGCTCGGCAGCTCCTGCATTGAGCGTCTTCCCCATGGTGGTCAGTGGGCGTCATAGCTACCAGTTGGAGCATCTACCCCTCGTGGTCATTGTGTGTCATAGCTACTGGTCAGACAGTCAGACGGTTGCTTAGGCTTTTATATAAAGACTAGAGGCCCGGTGCACAAAAATTTGTGCACTCGGGGGGGAGGGAGGGGTCCCTCAGCCTGGCCTGTGCCCTCTCGCAGTCTGGGACCCCTCAGAGATAACGACCTGCTGGCTTAGGCCTGCTCCCGGGTGACAGAGGGCAGGCCCAATCCCTAGGTGCAGCCCTGGTGGGGCTCAGAGCAGGGCCAATTGGGGAGTTGGGGCGCCGCCCCCTGTCATGCACAGAGCAGGGCGGATTGGGAGGTTGTGATGCCACCCTCAGTCACGCTCAGGGTGGGGCCGATTGGGGGGTTGGGGCACCGCCCCCTGTCACACTCAAGGCAGGGTCAATGGGGAGGTTGCGGCGCCAACCCCTGTCACTCAGGGGGTTGGGGCGCCTTCCGGGGTTGGGGCTCCATACCCTGTCACGCACAGAGCAGGGCCAATCAGGGGGTTGGGGCGCTGCCCCTTGTCATGCACAGAGCAGGGCCCATCAGGGGGTTGGGGAGCTCCCCCCTGTCACGCTGATCCAGTGCCAGGAGGCCTTGTGGCTGGGAGGCATATTACCCTTTTACTATATAGGATAGAGGCCTGGTGCACGGGTGGGGCCCGGCTGGTTTGCCATGAAGGGTGTCCTGGATCAGGGTGGGGGTCCCCACTGGGGTGCCTGGCCAGCCTGGATGAGGGGATGATGGCTGTTTGCAGCTGGTTACACACCCTTCAGGGTGGGGGTCCCCACTGGGGTGCCTGGCCAATCTGGGTGAGGGGCTGAGGGCTGTTTTCAGGCTGGTGGGTGACTGAAGCTCCCAACTGCTCCTTTTTTTCTTTTTTCTTTTTTTATTCTGGGCCAAGGCCTCTGCTGCTGAAAGCAGGTATCTGGTTTGTTTCGGTTCTATAATCGAAACACTGTATCATCTCCAGCTCTGAGATCCCGGCCGGCTGAAAGCTGGTTTCTGGGGTTTTGTTTAGCTTCTAATTTGTTACAATGTTTCCAACTGCCAGCTCAGAGGCCGGCAAGGCAGGCGGGGAACGTTGGAGTCCTCCTTCACTGAAGCAAGCAAGCCTCATGTTCGCTTCCAGCTGCCTGGCTACCGGCCGCCATCTTGGCTGGCAGTTAATTTGCATATCACCCTGATTAGCCAATGGGAAGGGTAGCGGTCGTACGCTAATTACCATGTTTCTCTTTTATTAGATAGGATGGTAGATTATATTTTGCTCATAATCAGCAACACCCAGGGTTAATGTAATATACTATATTAGTAAATGAATGAAAGGGCATTTGGGTTAGTTTTATCTGTTTCCAAATATTTAGAAGAGAATTACAGTGTCTTAAATATAGTACAAACAAAAGATAGGTATTATTTATACCTTTTCCTCTAATATTAGGTTAGCTGCTCAGTTTATGGCCAGATTATGATCTACTTATTATCAATTAATAGAAAAAACTGCCTCCTGGTAATCCTTATGAATAGTGACAAAAACATTTAAAATTTGAAAATGTAATGGGGAAGAAACTACACCGTATAAACCCAAGAGAAGTTATAAATTAAAGTATTTCCCAAGCTATATATGATTTAGAGTTCTTATCCCTGTAAAATCTAAGCTTTTAGATATTTCTTAATTAAAGGCAATTTTTAAACTGTTTAGTGTTAATAAATAACACAAAATTGCCATGTTTTAAGATCCACAGTGGGCTCTCATGGATTATTTCATCAGATCCTCATAACAATTCTTTCAATAAGCAGAAAAAGAGGTATTTCTTATTAAATACTCAGAGAAAATAGATGATAGAGAAGATAAATACATGACTTGTCCAAGCACAAAACACTGAGTTTTCCTTGGCCCCTTTTTTATATCATACACCTTCCATCCAATGCACCCTGCCAATGAGTTTTCTCCCACTGTCCTGAACTCAAAACCACTTATTATTGCTTCTTACCTTGCTAATTCAAGCTATTGCTCTCCTATATTGCCATTATGATTTCCCTTCTTCTATTCTTAACTCTGTGACAAATATAGCAGCACACCACTCTCTAATTCAAAACTGTTCAATGGCTTACCCATCCCGTAGGATAAAATCCACAATACCTATCATGGCACTCGCTCTCTACTATGTTCCAGTCGCAGTGGCCTTTTGCACATTCCCCAAGTATACAAACATGTCCCTCTTCAGCACCTTGACCCTATCTCTCAGCCTGGAGCAACTGTCCCTCATATCTTTATATAGAACTGCTTCAGTCACTTCATTCAGATCTCTTAACAAATGCCACCTCCTCAGAGAAGCTTGTACCACCAGAGAACATTTTTAGCTAAAAGCTCCAGGAGAGAAGATAACTGGAGTACAATATAGGACCTGGGACCCAATAAGTCCTCAGTAAACAGCTGCTGAATGAATAAGGGAATAACTGCTTAGTGATTTCCTACTGCATCTAGCACTATGCCCAGAGGGAAGTATAAGTAAAAATTCTTACAGTTATTCATAACAACTTACACATTTTCAAAAGTCACTGCAGGACAAGTTTAGGGAGCTATTTATTTATTTATTTATTTATTTATTTATTTATTTATTTTTATTTAATGCAAGGTGGGGGTAGTGTAAAGGTGGGTGAATTACTGGTGTGAGATAATGAGGATCTATTCTAGATAGTGAAGATGAGGAAATGCAGAGAGAATGGGAAACCCACGATACATCTTAGATGGAGAAATAAGAGGACTTAATGCTAGATTAAGTACGGGAGCAAGGACAGCAGAGAATGAAAGATTACCTCAAAGGTTACCATAGGCTACTCAAATGGAGCTGTTTCCCAGTAATAGGTAGAAACTGCAATTTAGAATAGTTCAAGATTTGTAAATCAGTCATTTTAAAAATACAATTGCTTCAAGCTAAGAATATGAATGAGTTCACCAAGGGAATGAATGGGGGGCGGGGGTAATACTTAACCAGCAGAAATTGGGGGATAGCTATAAACAAGAGAAGTGTGTAGGGTGTTTTGTTGAAGTCCAAGGAATAGAGAAATAGAAAATATACCAATTGAAGGCAAAAGAGGAAAGATTTGTACAGAGGAGAATGTGTTAGCTTTAAATGATGCATGGGGGTGTCAGATAAGACTGTAAACTTTCTCTAAATTATCCAGGCCCCCAATGTATCAATCAGATCAGAAGGCTACACAGATAAAACACATTACTCTCTATATCCAAAAACCTGACTTTAAGGAACTACTTCCTAAGATTATGCTCTCAACTTTAATTAACACAAAAAAAGTCTGTAATGGTAAGGTGTTAATACAAAATGTGTTGTGAAAGAAGCAATTAAACTCTCTCCAAAACTCTGTAATTCAAATAGGTATTCATTTTTAAAAATAGTTACATTTAAACATTTGTAACAAAATAAAACAGCTTCTGTAACTGAATAAACAGAAAAAAGTAAATGTTCCATTTCATATTTTATTGGGGGGGGGGAATACAAGATAATTAAGATAATCTACAGTTAAAAATTTCATACTTTATTTAAAGCCCTGAATCTTATAGTATTAAAAAATGGTAAAAGTATTCCTTCATCATGGCAGCAATTTTTGCAGATGGTTACTGGGTACTTGCACATGCAGGAGAAAAAAATACATGAAATTAAAATCACACTAGAAGTTAAAAGCAGACAAATCTTAAGTCTTCTCATAAAAATCTTTAAGTGGCTTTTACAAGGAAAAGGTAATTCTTTAAAATCATCTTGAAACTAGGGACTATATTTCAATTACACAAATAAAAAGTAATACTACATTTTATGAAAATATAATTCAACTAATATACTGGTAAAGTGCTATTTCTCTCTACAAGTCACCATTTTAACAAATATGCACAGAGAAAATCTCAACTATATTTAGTCTCAGAAAACATCAACCAATGTTTAACTGTAGGAGGAAAATATTAAGTCATGATATACAATTATATGAGTACTTTTCCAGTAATTAGCATTTAACTTTCTTTATGTTTCTTCCTTGTTTGCCACAAAACATAGAAAGTCTTTCCTTATGTAATCAATTTTAGCACACAAATCTTAACCTTTATTTGACAACACTATCTATATTTCAATCCATACAAAGTAAGGATATTTATCCCTATCTAGCTTATTGAAAAGATTTTTTTAAAACCCCACAAATGAACAGAAAAATAAATCTGTTTTTTCTCAACTCACTCAATCTGAACATAGAAAGATGCTGATTAACTCTAAATTAATTTAAATAGTCACTAAAAAGATTAATCACTTATTTATATATCAGTTTCATGTGTTCTCTGTGTTCTATTTTTTTCAAGTTATGGTTATATAATAAAACGTATTTCTAAACTTTACATATGAAAAATAATCTCAAAAATCAGATGCTAC